ACCGCGGCGCCACCATCGTTTTGAACTCCCCGGGGGTCCCTATGAGTCGAAGCTGCTGGGCCTTTCTAAAACAACCCGGCCCCCGTGGTGGTCTGGTGCTGGCATGAAGGAGATGGAGAGGGGTGGGGTTTCGGTACATGTGGCGCGAATCCGCCATGATGCACTGAATTGGTCTGTTGGGATTGGAAGACAATAACAATAATAATATTTATGAAATAATATGAATCGTGATATATGTAACGATAGATGAACGAACACCTAAATTTATGGTCGCCTTCTGGTCACGTGAGTAAGGCAGACGTCGAGCGCACGACCACCTTGTGGAGGGAAAAGGTCCAGAGTTCGGGAAACGGTCCATTTCGATGTCTATTACTCCAGCGCACTCTCTTCTGGACTCCGAACTCTTTGGATGCGAAGCACGACTCGACGGGATCGCGCGCGCGCGCGCGCACGCCCGTGTGTGGGTGTTGCGATGGTGAGGAGCTGGTGTCAGCGAAGGGAGACCAGTTGAAGCACATGATCCAAATCTCCTGGGCTCAACCAGGCAGTATCGTCCTTGGAGGCGCGTTCTCGGCGAGAGTTCGGGGAGCTTTGGGTCGGAGCTGAAGAGGAGGGTCAGTCAGAACAGTTGGGAGAACGTCGGGGGGGACGTTGGCAGGTTGTGAACATTTCCAGGAATCCACTAAATAAAGCCTGGGACAATCAAATCCATACGTCAGTTCGCTTCTTCCCTGAGTCCTCCTGCCTTGTATTTCTATCTACTCTACTTGCAGAGTACATGTCCACCCGTTTCACTTTGTCCCCTAGACACCTCCACTCGCTCACATGGAAGTCGAACTTGATCCCCAAGAGGGTCTCCCATGATGCAGGCGTCTCCCCATTATAATTTCATGAGATTTTCGACAGCCCGAGCCAGTCGAGTGGTCGAAGCCACGGGCCGCGCCGCGCGCATCTCGCCAGGTGTGGTGGCGCTGAGTCTCGTGGTGAGAGCCTTGGGGGTTCTCGTTCGATGTCCTGCCCGAACCGAACTCGACGCGGGGGTGGCGCAATGACCTGAACCGGTTGCTGGAAGGCGGCCATGTTCTTTGAGCTTGGGTTCATGTCTTTTCGCCACACTGTTGATTAACAATTGCCCCTTCTACCAGAATGGTTTTACACCTCCATCCGGGGGGTTTTTATTCAATAGCAGGGAACAGTACATCAAGTGATTTCTGTGCCCCTTTGTTTGGTTGGACACGCTCTCCTTGTGCTTGCAAAGAAGAAACGAGAAAGCCTCCCTGGTTTCTTTCTGGCTTTCGGTCGCACGCGGGGCGATTCCGACCGCAGAAGCAAGTTGGGCAGATAAAGTGCGTACAGGTCCTGTTCCACGGTTTCGAATGAGACCAGCAATAATCCGTGTGTCATTGTTGATTCATTGTCCTGTGATTGTTGTATAATATATTAAGATATATATGTATATAGTAATCTATTTTTGTTTTGGTCCCTAGCGCCCAGTAATCCAAAATCCCCAGCAAGTCGCCCAAACCAAGACCTGCAGTGACCGCAGTGACCTCAGTGGGCAGCCAGTCCGGAAGTTCCGTCAATTCCGACCAACAGGTCCGCTACGCGGTCCACGTCCGAGGCGGTGATCGCCTCAGCGATTGGGCTCAGCAAATGCTATTGTGGCTTGGCGCCGGAGATGTGGAAGTGACGCGCAAGAGTCTGGAAGGAACACCTATCGGGACGCTATGCTCGGTGGAGGCCATCGCGGTCGTAGGTTGGAGGCCATCGCTACCAGTAGCAAGAAGCAAGAGTTTCTTTTTCTGGGTGCCGGACACCACCTGTGGTCGGGTCCCCGAAAAGGCCTGGCCACGGGGGTCTTGCCAGGTGAAGGAGCAAGTTGGTTTCTTTGGCTCAAAGTGCGTACTGGTGCATGTCCAAAGGAGTTAGTTTCTGTGGGCAGGGGGCAAGTCTCGCGAAGTGAGTCGCCTTCCTTCAAGGGCTTGGTCTGCTCCAGCACCACGGAAACGGTGGTTTATGGATAATTACCCTGACTATGACTATCTAGATTCTAGATCTATTCTATTTTCTATCCAATTGCCACCGTGGTGCTGGCTTGTGTATTTCTTTTTCCCGTTCTAAACGACATGTGCCTCGAAAAAGCCGCGCAAGATGTCCTGGTGTCAGGACGTTTGCCTGCTTTTCAGGAGCAGATCGATTTCCGCCCAAAGCCAGCTCGATCCGAAGCGGCCACCGCGTATCAGGTGACTACTGCTTATGCCTCTCTCTGTGTTCATGCATGAGGCTCTCAGCGGGTTTCCGACGCGGTTTTGCTGCCAGTCCGTCGTGCGATCAGCCTGTTACATTGACCAGAAAGACATCGACAGCTGCGAATCGAATAACACATGATTATTTCAGGGGTGTATTCTTCTCGGAAGAAGAATCTTTGGCTGTCTGGATGCCTTGAAGAGATTCCATCAGGATGAGCCCGTTTGGTCAACACCCGGTTTAGTGCTTCGAAAAAGAAGGGTGTGTCTGTGTGTGTGTGTATTAATTAAGAGTCTACATTATCAGGTCAAACGAAGTTCGACCGGTGAACGAATCGGTTTGTCGAACCGCTCGGAGGCGCAGCAGTGGCTCGAGTGACTTGCGACTGGGACGGAGATCACTGATCCGAGAGGGAGAGCGTTTCAGATCCTGCGGAGGAGATCGATTCAGATACCCTCTGACTCACCAACATGGAAGTGGATGGCATGGGCCCTTGCAAGACTACTTTCCTCTACCAACAAAATCAACAAGAGGTCTTCTGCTTTCATGTTAGTGAGTCAGAGTGTAGATGATTTGCTTGGGATGATTTCAGATTTCCAGATTCATCCAGGTTCTGCAATTCTGCAGATGTCTTTCTTCTTGTCTTCTTGTCTTCACTGCTTGAGGGTTGACCTATGTTGACCTTTTATTTGCTTTTTTGCTGGGGATGCCGGAGGCAAGATCTCCTATGATATAAATGGGTTTGGCTTTGAATGCGGTCCACACAAATGCGCAGATATCGCATTGGGCTTTAGACCAATTGGTGGAGAGATGTTCTCCCAAATCCACACTTGTGATTGTGTACCTACCCAGTCAATGGATAACCTTCAAAGATCTTTAAAGTCTTTTTTGGTTTGGCTAAACTACGAACAGGTGGCAGAAGGTTAAAGCCTTTATTCTCTATCAAAAGAACTGACGGAGTGAGATGTACCTTCCAAACTTCTGGCACAAATCCTTCTCTCCAAGTCCTGCTTTTGGACTTGGAGCAGCATGCAACCGAGGTATTTCTGCGCCATGAAGGAGCTCCAGCCCGAACCCGAGTGCATGGTTCGCGCGGGGTTGGCTCTTTTTTGGGAGGCATTTTGGGGATCTGGAAGGAGTCTGAAAGAGAAGTCTGTCGCTGAGATCTTTTTTGAGACCCGTGTTGGGTTTAAGGGAAGCATCGCAGCCGTCAGCGTACGACGCTTGAGGACACGAGGGGCCGGGGGAGGAGAGGAAAGGAGTGGAAAGGGCTGTCGCCCACAATGCTTGCCCGAACGAGTCATGTTTGAAGACCCACCCGTGTGTTGCCAAGCAGGCAGCGTGGAGCTACCTTTGACGTACAGCCGGATGGCAGCGCGAGCTTGCACGTGCCGCCCTCGCTGGAGCCTCAAAGCCGCTCGAAGACCTGGACCTGTGAAGCAAAGGTCATCTCCAACTGCAACTGAGATTGCCATGCTTTTCTCATGGATTCCTTGCAGCCTGGACACTGGCTGGAAGAGGGACAGGTTCAAGTAAGTTGAACATGGGCCAGCCTGGCCTTTTCAAAGTCTCAATGAGAGGCCCTAGGCCCTGGGCATGGCTCCTGCTATCCCCAAAATGGCATCAACAAGCAAGTTGCAGGAGCTGGGGCTGTCTAGGTCCCTCGAGCACGCCCCCCCCTCCCAGGGCGCTTCGATGGGTTTCTTTTTCCATGACTCGTTGACCCCGATTTTCAGCGAGATCCTTGGGAAGACCCATGGAACGAGGCCTTTTCACCCGTTGAACATCGATCCCACCCCGCGCCGATCCAACCCCTGCGGCGGGGCCGGCTCTCGCGCCCGAGCGAGCCCCGAGGCGAGCGACTTGCCACACCATGTAGGTCGGGCGGGTTGGCGCACCGTGCTTTTCGAAGGAACGGTGGTGGGGAAACGTGCATGTCATTGGGCCCCTATTGGACCATATGTGAACTTTGTATGAACACCAATGATTTTTGGTTCATGTCACGTGAAGGCTATTCGGATGAATACATGCTTTAAGGACATGGATTCACTTTCCTACTCCTTCAGCTACACTGGACCTGATTTCAGACATGCGAGACTTACTGTAGATGGTGACGTATGATTTGTCTGACACCGCTGCAACATGAGCTGGTTTTGGGTTTGCTTCCATTTGTCGCAGGTATTTTCAGACACCATCGTTGTGATGGCCTGCCTTCGCCTGCTGTTGGGCGGTCAGCTTGCTGTTGGGGGCTGTTTGTGAAGCCACCTTCTTGTACAGCGAGCTTTAGCATCAGGAGCGTGTTTCAGAGCAATGCCTCCGTAGTTATTTACTCCTGCGGCCCTGCGAAAGCGACAAGAGCTTGCTTTGCGACGGTGACGGACCTAGAGATGCCCTGTAGGGGTACCACTAGAGTGCCAGAATGCCATTCCAGAGTGCCTGTTCACTCAGTTCAACGGAATTCAAGGAGTTCGAATCTACTTCAGTTCTTTTCAGACATGATTTGTTTGTGTCAAAATGAGGACAACTGCTTCTTCGGGTTCGGGTTTGAAAGACTTTCTCAGTATTTTGTGCAAGGATCTCGCAGCATTTTGCAGAAATGAATGGCATATACATATGTATATATATATACACAATTCATATCTACTGTATAGACATGTATATACAATATATATAGACTTATCCAGCGACGTGGAATTTGACCGTTGCTCTTGCAGATTCCTAGAGCTTCCCCACCCTTTGCCGCGTGCTTTGAGGAGAAGTACCAGCACTTGGCGCCTTGCACCGTGGCCTTCCTGTGGCAGTGGGGATGCTCGGGGCGAGTCGGGTCAGAGCTGGGGAAGACCTTGGAAGAGACCTGGAGCCCAACGGCTCTAGGAGATGACGCCGAGCCTGGGCGAAAACGACCAGGGTGCTCTGCACAAAGTGGAACTCCGTGGAACTCGGGTAGAGCAATTAGTTTTCGATTTGTTTGTTTCAAAACTCTTTGCCTCACGGACAGGTGTTTTCTGGGAGATGCGTGGCCGAGGTGGCACCAGATTGCTGGCAGCAAGTAGGTTTGATTCAGAGTGATCCATTTGTTTGGGGGCTCAAATTCGCCATTGGATGCCCTTTCCGCGAAAGCACCAGAAAAAGACAACCTCTCGAGTTCTCTGTGCTGGGAGTTGTCTCCCGACTTCGAGGTTTCCACCCAGCTGGGTGTACAGCGACGAGGCCTACCAAAGGCGCCAATGGGGCGACGTGTGCCCAAACGGAGACCCAAACGGGGCCCCCGGTGTCTCCGGAGGTGGCCGAAACCAGGGCCCGAAAACAGCTCGGTTCTGAACCATGGACCTGTTTTTGAGAACTCCCTGATCTGTGAGGTTGGGTGGGGCCCTGGGATGGGGGTATGTTGGAGTATGCTGGGTATTTTAGTGGTCCTGCACCCTGGAAATCCAGTCGACTATTCTAAAATTGTTCTGTTATGTTACTTGGTTGGTGTTTTGAAAGGAAGTTCCCAAATTCCCTCAAACCTTTGGTGGTGCATGGTGGTGCCCCAAAAAGGTCGGACTGGACTTCTAGCTCTGCATGTTTCACCAAAAAGATCCAAAAAAGGACACTTTTTCGGAGCGACCTCCTCCAAACCCGGTCCGGTGGTTTCCTCCATCGCATCCGGTGAAAACCGGTGACCGGACCGGTGACCAGAGATGGCGAGGAACATCGGGCGAGGAACATCGGGGTGTCGTTGAGGAGGAAGAGATAGCTTTCCCAGGTCAACTCACATGCGGACCTGAACGGACCTTCCCAGTGACCGAACTTGTGGTGAGATTGTTGTTCCATGTCCAGGAATTGACTCCATGGCCCAGGTCAATGACTCAACACGATGCCGAGCGGCATGTGATAGACATTCAAAGCCGTTTGTTTTTTTGGTTTTGGATGGAGCGGATCCCACGAACCGGATGAAACGAACCACCAGGATGGAGCGGCTGGTGGAGTATTTGGCCTCCAACAAGAGTGGCGTCCAGGAGGCGGATTCCCCCGCGTTTGCCGCGTTTTCGCGTTGCCGCGTGGCTCGGAGGGCGCAGACCTGTTCTTCAGCGGAAAGCGGACCCTCAGGTGGTTGGAAGATGTTGGAAGTGCCGTCTCTTCTCTGGGTTTTGGTGATGTTTTGTCTTCATGTGTCAAGACATTGGCTGTTTTCGGTTGTTTTCAGAACCAGCAGCCTAAGAAATTCGTTGAGCCGGTGAGTACAAGATCCGTGTTCTTCTCTTCTCTGATTGAAATCCTTTGGAGGACACTGGGTCAATACCAAATTGCGTGCTACGCATATGTTTGGTGTCACCTTCGAATTCAACCCTCTGAACCAATTGTTGGGTCATTGACTCATTGGCGTCATTGATTCCTCGACCACATCACACCCACCAGACTCCAGACCTCATCTTTACCCTCTGACCTTGGAAGACCATTTTCGTTCAAAGGAACAGAACTGTTCTTTTCCACGTCCATGTCAATGTGATGTGTTCGGAGTGTGTTCGCATTGTCTCCGAAACAGTGTGTGGCTTCACCTCCGTTCGTCCCGGTCACCCCCCCCCACTCCCACCCTTCAGGATTTGTCCCGTCCCAGGCGCGCCACATCGTGGACTTCAGGGACGGCTCGTGGTACCGCGAAGACGTCTACGAATTCTTGAAGCCACCGGGCAAAGGGCGGCCGCTTGTGGGGTGACCGGTGCGGGGGTGGCGTTCTGCGTGAAGGATCGGAGTGTGGTCGCAGATGCAAAGGTTTTGGGATGCCCTACCCAACGACCCTGCCTGGTTCAAAAGACCCTAGTTGCCAGAGTTGTACATAGGTGTCTTCCACTGAATGTGGTTCTTTCTTGAACCCCAGAAAGATCAGTATGCATCCAAAGTGTGTACATCCAACACACACACACACACATTCTTGCTTTCTGATTGGTGGCCAGAATCTGCCAGGCCAGAATCTGATCTAAGTGCTTGTTGATGGGACTGGTCGTCCTACAGTCCGAGCTTGAAGGAAGTAGCAATGCGTTCGTTGTGGCGTGTGTTCGTTGTCTTCAAACTTGCCACGTCTGAAGGTGTAGATGGATCAAGTACTTGCACAGTGGTGGCGATCAACGAGTGGCATATGACTATCAAAAGAACGCATCTGTCTTTCGTGGGGCTCCCTGTGCCACCCCGGCTGGGGATATCATTTGTTTGGCCACCTGATTTCGAAAGGAGAAGAGGTTGGCCCTGTACACCTCCGTCAGAGGGCTTAGATTTACAGCCATCCGTCGATGATCCGTCGCCCCAACGGAAGCCGGAACGAGAACCGACACCAGCGCTTCGTGTTCGACAGGAAGCACCGTTGGTGTTTAGCCTGGTTGCATTTGAACAATGCGTTCCTTGGCAGATTTGGAGGGCAGATGTTGGAGGGTTCGACGGACCCACCGAACTGAATGGAAAGGACGCCTTTGCTGAGAACTCAGCGAAGCGAGGGTTCTCAGATGAAGTCGCTTGGAGAGTGGTTCATTTGCCCACATTTCGATGGTGTTGGGTTGAACAACCTGCAAAAGAATGTTCAACAAGGCACTTGGGTCTATTACATTGGAGTAGGGAAATGAGAAACAAGCCCCTTTTCGTCTCATGGTTGGTTGTCTATTTTAGAGTTATCATGTTTAAAGCCGTTCCACCGAGATGGTCCGACCGAGAAAGGACACCACCATCGGGAGTTTTCACCTTTGCCATGGAGGGTTTGACTGAATTCAGCTCCATGGTTTGAACCATTTGGACTTTCTGCTTCTACTTAGTAGACAAGTAACAAGAAGCTAGTAGGAACAAGTGCCACGCTACTAGGAACAAGTGCCTTACTAGTAGTAACAAGAAGCTAGTAGGAACTAGACAAGTAACATGGGGCGCCCTTTCAGGATTGGCGAAGGTCTCAGGGTGCCTGGCAGTGACCAGAAACCCCCACAGCTTCGCATCGATGCCGCCCCGCATCGACAACACACCGGGTGTTCTTTTGGGAAGAGAGCGCGTGAAACGCTTCAAGACGAAGCGCGGCTTTCAACGTGGGGTCCGGCGCTATATATATATATATCTATCTATCTCAGTTGGTTTGTCAGATTGTTTTCGATCAAAAGCAGCCTTCTGAGAGTGATATATTACCTCACGACCTGGCAAAGTCGTAAGTGTTATCCAGGAATCCAACCATTCCAAAAGTATGACCAGGGAGGAAATCTTGATCAACACATACAAACTCGACTTCTTGAAAGACCGAATTTTTGATATTCACCCACTGCTTGTTCACAGGAACATACCAACACATCTCATGGAGAAACAACAAATGAACAAATGAAAGCTTATATTTGAGCTGCAGGGATCAACACTTAAAGCAACGCTTGCTCCACCTTTTTGTCAGCTGCTCACCACCGCTTTTGTATGGGAAAATGCCCGGAGTGACTTTTTGGGTTCTTTGATGTATATACTGTATACTGAGTTTTGGAATCAGCAATCGTGCCACGAGGGTTTGCTTCAGTTTGCCATTTCCACAAATAGCCTTGCCCTATCACCCGAAGGAATAACATGTGTTCCTTTTCCAGGGTGGTTTCTTTGTGTTGTGGACACTTGAATGACGTTGACCTTGCCAGGGACGGTTGGGCGTCCAACCTGCTTGGAAGACCCAGAGAGATTGGAGAGGGCTGGCCAGAGGATTGGAGTCATCTGGGGAGGTGCAACATGGTGCAACTATGTGCAACTGTACGATTCGACTTTTCAATCCATTGCCTGAGTACACTGAGTACGCATCTCTGGCCCTTCAGAAGAGCCGCGGATTCAGTACGTTCTAACTTGTCGGGTTTGTTCGTATGCTTTGGGTAAAGTATTGAATTGCAAAGACAAGTCCAACACCACGTGTGACTCGCATTGTCTCACAGTGCTGAAGTGGACCACTTCAGCTAAATTGCTTCGGTTTGTTCGTGGCAAACCTTGGCACTCTTGATTAATAGCACCCCCCAAATTGAATTGGACATCCTCTTCATACATGGGGTTTATTATATAATCAAGAGTCTACATTAATTAGTATAGTACTTAGTAGATAGACAGTGGGGACAGTTCAGTGCCACGCCCACGTTTTTTATTCTATTTTTCGTTTTTCGTTTGTGCACACCGACGGCCACCGCCACCTTCACAACGACACACACTTAGGATTGGATGTACTGAACTGAATGCGGTGCCACACGCCAGCCTAGGTTACCATTTCCTAAGAGTACAGGTAAAACCTAATGGAGGCTGGGGGTCTTCAAACAGAAGTGAGGCCCAAAGCGCAAGCACCAAATCGACGAGTTCGGATCGACAAGATGACGGCGGTCCGTGCACATCTGCAGAATTAAAAGGAGTAAATGGCCACCAGCTGCGCCTTACAATGCGCCCAGGTGCACCAAGCAGGTATGTTTCCACAACAGCTTGGATGGGTCTTCGTTGGCCCATGCCATCCAAGTGTCCATGGGCCCCCTGCTGAAAAAGAAAAAGCAAGAACAGAAAGTACAATCCAAGTGGATCCCTGTGACTACAAGGGGCACACACACACACGCCTCCCCGAGGGGTTTCACCAAATTTAAGGCGCCGACAAAGTTGTAAGGCCAGGAACCCCAAGCAGCGTCAAAGCAGCGTCAGAGCACCTAGTAGGAAGGCCCGGAGCCCCTAGTAGCATCCCACTCTAAGGTCCCGACAGGAGGGAGGGGTCGGAAGAGAAGAGAAAAAGGAAAGAGAAGAAAGGAAGGTGTTCCCAGCTACGGCACAAGCGTCCAAGGACGAAAGCATCCAGGGACACCCAACAAAGAAGGAAGGTGAAGAAAGGAAAGAAAGAAAGAAAGAAAGAGAGGGAGAGAAAGGGAGAGGAGAGAAAAAGGAAAAAGGCAGGTGTTCCCAGCTACGAACAAGCGTCCAGGGACACACCAAAGAAAGAGAGGGGTGATCCTGAGTATTCCATTCAGGAAAACCCCAGGAAGCAGAGAAAGAAAGGGGGAGGGAAGGGGGAGGAGGGGGGACTAAGTTCTCCACAGGTTCCAACGAACCTTAAAAATACTTTGACCGCTGTGGTCACCTTGTGCCCTGCCAAAGTGGCTGGCTGCTTTGACCGCTGTGGTCACGAAAGGCGTGAGCCAACTTGGAATTCAATAATTCGTCAAGTCTTGGCAAATAACTTTGGCATAAGCCTCCTACGCTCGCTGCAAGCTACTCTGGTCCCGGGCGCAGGGACAAAGACACACCCCCGTTCGACGGGCTTAGGATTGGGTGTACTGAACTGAATGCGGTGCCACACGCCAGCCTAGGTTACCTTTTCCTAAGAGTACAGGTAAAGCCTAATGGAGGCTGGGGGTCTTCAAACGGAAGTGAGGCCGGCGGTCCGTGCACATCTGCAGAATTAAAAGGAGTAAATGGCCACCAGCTGCGCCTTACAATGCGCCCAGGTGCACCAAGCAGGTACGTTTCCACAACAGCTTGGATGGGTCTTCGTTGGCCCATGCCATCCAAGTGTCCATGGGCCCCCTGCTGAAAAAAGAAAAAGCAAGAACAGAAAGTACAATCCAAGTGGATCCCTGTGACCACAAGGGGCACACACACACACCAACCGCTCCTTCGCGGCTCGGGCCGTCATTGCGGGGGGTTTCCCCGACAGGACGCCACTGTGTGTCTCTTTCTTCTAGTTCAGCAATAGCTTCTCTATCCAGCACCTGACTCTTACAGTCTTACAGGTTTCCTTCTGTGGAGGGTTGGGAAGGGCCTGACCCGGACCAGGTCGAACCATTCGTGACCGATCTTGGTCGGGTGCTGGACATGTCAAATCTCCGAACCCTTCAAAAAAGGTCATTAAAACAAAAAACAAATAAAAACAGCATACAATAAACTTGGCCACAACCAGTTTTTTTCGGTGTTCCGGGGTGCCGGTTGGAGGCCATAGCTAATTAGGTTGGAGGCTTGGAGCGCCATCGACCAAGCCTCGTCTCCTCGTCTCCTCTCGTCCACCGAGGCCCTCCGGCTGGACGGACCGAGTGCAGACGACGAACTTCTGCTTCTGTCGGCTCTTCGGCCCCGACGGCGCGCCCGGGAGAGCGGGGTGGAGCGGAGCAGGGCAGGCGAAGTTGATGAGTTTCTCAGGCACCGGAGCTGCACAAACAGAGAGGATGGTGACAGCAGCTGTCAATGAGCAGCGGAACAGATTTACTCCCTGCTTGCGAGCGGTTTTGGTCGAGCCGGGGTTGTATGAAGAGACGATGGCTTCAAAGTTGTTTTGGCTCGGGCTTCAGCATGCTTGGCCGATTCTTGGATGTGTAGATTCGATGCATGCATGCATGAACCTATTGGGGTGCCCTCTTTGGGTGTACAGCACCTTGACGACCAATCCTTTAGCCCTAGCCTTCCTATGGGCCGCCCGCGATGGGCACCTGGCGCTCTTTTTTTCGCTCCTCGGAAACGCCAGGGCGAACGCATGGCATCTATGACAACAAGTTCTTGCACGAGCTTTTTGATAGCTGCCGCTTGGCGCAGTGCCACTAGGATTGCGGGTTGCTGTCCGGTGAATGTGAACACGTGTGGGTTCAGGGCAAGCGCAGGATACACGGTGTATTGCTGTACACATGCAGATCTACGTTTCTATGTGTAGGGCTCACACAATGGCACATTTGCAGATTTCCCATTGAGGCCCAATGGGCACCACGAGCTATGTGCTCTTCGGGAACAAGGCGCGACCGCTGATCGCGCCGTCTTCGACGTGTTCCTCAGGACGAGCTACCAAGCTTCGTGGTCCAATGACAAGTTGGTACTGCAAGTCAGTCGTGTAAACTGTGAATATGGACCCTGCCAGTCATATGGACCCTGAGTCGTGTAAACTACTGTCAGTCATGTTGATACGGAAAACGACGCCCCTTGTGGCGTGAGCCCCGATGGTCGGTTTCGGAGGGTCAACCGAGGAGAAAACCTTTCCTGGCATGGAGGTTTTCCAGAGTCACCAAGGAGAAACTCTTCCCTTATACCTGCCCTGGCTTCGGGTGAAGGTGAAGGCATTCCGCTCACTTTCTGGTTTATTCCCCTAATCGGGTGGATTCTGGTCAACGTGCGGAGAGGCAGTATGAATCACGGATGTAGCAAATCATTTTCACCTGCTGACCTGACCCGTTTTTCTCCCCCGAGCGACCGAACTCGTTGAGTAGCATTGCGGCAGCATGACATGCACTTGTCAATGGCATCCCTATTCGACTCTCAAACAGGAATTCATACGTCACCTAATCTGCACGAATTCATGGAGGAAGTCTGCGATTTTCCACATTCAGACGCAGTAGGATGGGCTGAAAGAAGTCCAGTAGATGGTTGAACGTTGAAAGCAAACCTCTTGAAACTTTGTTTTTCCATCACCGGTGGTCCATGTCTGTTGGGTTAACCATCCCACGGAATATATCAAAACAAGTCCTGAACACTCATTGAATAGTTGCCTCATCCGCTTCTACAGCATATGTTGATCAATTGTAGAACTGTTGAGTGTGTTGTCATGAAGGGGTCCTCGCACTACCTCCGATGTGACCCCCAGCAACATGCCGACCCTCCAGAGGAGGACCACATTTGTGCCAATGTCAGCGATGCGCCGCAAGAAGAGCATGACTTCGAGCGTAAGGAATCCAAAGCATCACGACAAGATTGCAGTGCTCCAGCGCCTCCAGTGGGCCTCCAGATTTTGATGGTTGGATGCCACAGTGTTTTGCCCAACTGGATGAGGAGTGCACAGAGGTGTTTTTGGAAGGTCAAAATGGAATTGTAGAGATCGACTGGAACACGAAAACAACACTGACATGGCTCACTTGGTTCTGTCAGGGCGGGTTTTCTCCGTGGCAACAACATTTTCCGACCTCCCACTCGTAGAAGTCTGAGTGTTGTGTTGTGCGACGATGTTTTAAGACACTGACCTCAATCCTTCTCACTTTCTTTTGGCTTCGCCATGACGGCCACGAAGCAGCAGCGTGGCGCTTCGACTGCGGCATAGGACGGGTCCGGCCCCACGGCCCCACGGGTCCTTCCGTGGAGCCGTCGCGTCACGGTTCGATGCCGCGGGAGCCTTTCTCAGCTGGCAGTTTCAGAAGGACCAGGGTCTCATTCCAAGAGTAGACAACAATTCGTCCCTTGGTCCCAAGAGTGGAACACCTATTGATTTACTTAGGTGCCGTGCCTGCAGTCAGTCCATCCGACCTTATCACTGGCAGGGTGTGACGACTTGATTGGAAGGTGCGTCATCATTGGTCATAGTGACTATGGCCTTCGGGTCCTGGGGTACACACACCAATGGACCCTGCCAGCTACCCTAGTTCGACGATCCAACCGCTACCTCAGGAGGTCACGGGTCCTAATTGCAGCTCACTTCAGCTCTGGCATGGCCAGGCCCTCGACTTCGCCGGAACTCTCCGGGTGGAATCGGTGCAACCGGAGCATGGGCCGCTACGGCCGCGAGCTGAGCGCTCGGCACGAGGACCGGTCGCCGCCGGGGTCGGCGCGACGAGTCCAAGGACTCTCGGCCCCGCAGAAGGCCGAAGAGAAGCATGCTGGAACCCAGACATGACCTCTGTTTTGATAGGAAGTTAGGCCATATTTGGGGTGGTTGGTGGTCCGAAATAGAGGTCATTCAGGTTCCAGCTATTCCATGACGCTTCGCGTCGACCGCCGCCCACACCTTCTTTTTTTTTCGGTCGCCTGGGGAAAGACTGCTGGAGTGGACAGGGGAGGTCGGGAGTGGTGTCCAAAGAGATGGCTTGTTTGCCGCAGCATTTTGGTAGAGCAGAGGGTGTAGAGGACACAGTGTGGACGCAACTTCAAGTTGAGTTTGGGGCAGCGTCAGTGCGTTCCAACTGCTTCATTCACATTACGTCGAAAAAATTTGCACATGACAGTATTTCTATGTCCATGTTGCGGCTGAGTTACGCACAAGTTCGCTCGTTTGGTGGCCATGTTAAAGCCAACTCAAGCTCCAAGTTCGACCGTTTTGAGGCCTTGCCCCCCCTTGGCTAGTCCACATTACTTCATCTGTAATGCTGGTTATGCGTTGCTGGTCAGGAGGGATTTTCAGCATCGTGGGTGTCCGTTTTTTGGGTTGTTTGGGTTGTTGCAGACAGGTCGCAACGAAGCCACAAAAATCATCCAAAAATGTACCTCCAAAACGCTCTCCCCCATGGCCCTCAAGGCGTAAGACGTGTTTTCCCCGAGATGATTACGATGACTCCAGCCTCCAGCTTGACCCGCCCCTAACACGCCCTGCACCGCAAGCGGTGTGGGCGGAGGTATCTTTTCTGCTCGGATGGGCTTTTCGGGGGCGTAAACGGCGTAAAGGGAGGGGGAGGAAAGAACATTGAAAGCAAGGGTTTTGGGATGGGTTGCCAGGACTCGTTTGGGCTTTACAGACATGTTTGTGGCAGCTTTGCTCAACCCAAGCAAAGGTGGAGGTGACCTTTCCATGGTGCTGCGTAGTTTGGGCTTTGGCTTCCGAGACCACTTGTGCCTTCAAAGACTGAAAGAAAGGTTTGACCCGGATTTTGTAGTCTGAATTCCTTAGTAAAACCAACTTCCAACTTGGACTTCCAGGTCAAGGCGTTCCTTGGCGTACCACCTCCCGAGGATCCCGCGGGGAAGTACCTGGATGCGGCGCGGCAACGGCGGAAGGACGGTCCGAAGCCCGGTGACCCGGTGCCGGCTGCGATCGATCCGGTGACCGGGCATCAGCCGACGAACGACCGGGACGAGGTGAGTCGAAGCCGCTGCGCCGGCGACGTTTGAGCGAAGGGAATGGCATTCCACCGATCCTTCCTGGTTTTCGGAGGGCGTAGGCTCTGAAAAGAACTGCCAGGACCACCGAAGCGGCCAGACGAGGCCGGAGGCGCCGATCGAGTGGCCGGTGGCGGACGCTTGGCGGGTTGGATAATTTGGACGGAGATGTGCACACTGGAGGGCCTGGGACTGTTGAGTGGTTTGATGGTGACGGAATTGAGGACTTTCCTCCAAATTGGGCATCGTTGAAAACCCTTCAGGGTCGAGATTGCAGACCCACCAGCTTCACCTCTTAGTTGGTATGCTTATTATGTAGTATATGCTTATCCTATCACAACAGCACCTCAAGAACACACGTGCCCTCGACTTGGTTTGAATCCTTCTTAGCGCCGCGCCAAGCCAAGCCCCTTCTGTTTGCCCGCTGCGGTGCTGTGGCGCGTCCGACGCGGTGTGGTGCTGTGCCTTCACTTTTCAGGATCTCACCGGTGGCTTTGACGCGGAGGCCGGGTGAAGGGACGCCCATGTGCATTCCTGGTGGGATCCAGGCGTTCCCTCGGTGTTGGTCCGGTGGGTGCACCGAATGCATCCAGTCCTTTGTGGGGAAGGGGGCACCACTTGGTAACTGGGAGCGATGGATGGATGGGACTTTAAGACCTTTTCCATTAAGTCTAGTTGCTGCCATGGTGGCGATGGCGGGTCACTGTGCAGCATCAGGCTTGCATGCTAGAAGCGAATGATGTGGGAGTGCCATGACGCCGCACACCTGCAGGGGTTGAACTACACGTGACCCGTAACCCTGGTGATCTTCACCTCTCCACTTTTCGTGCAATGTCTTCTTTTCAATGCCTCCAGACTCCACACCCAACACACGTATAGAAAGAACCTTGGTATGGTAAATCGTGTCAAAGGCCCGACCATTCCCCACCCGGACGAGATTGGCAGGCCGTGAGCAGGTGGCTGAAGGAGCTGGAAGCTGGGGGTCGCCTGGCATTCCGGGGCCTTGAGAAGGAGAGGGGTTGGGATCCCGCGAGCAGGAGTCCAGGGCGTGGTGGAGTGGTGAGCGCTGTGGCGGTTTGGGGGGCTTAGAACTGAAGTGGAGGGGTGGCTCCTCACCCAGGTATGGGGCACCCCCGAGTGAAGCTGAACAATTTCTGGGGCGCCGCACACCGTTTTGAACCATGCCTCATGAGCCTCATGAAATCTCATGAACATGTGGGGTATTGTTATTTAAAACATCGAGCTGTTTGGAACCCTTGGCAACGGACCAAACTCTACACCCACCTCCACCTCGAGGCCACCCCAATTCGACAGCTGCACCTCCAGGAGCAACGGGCTGTGGTGCATCGATTGGCGCATCAACTGAGCTTCATCAACACCTCCAAAGCCGATCCAGAGGGATGCTCTGCCCGGATGGTCTGCGTGCTGCGGCCGCACACCACCTCCGCGCAGCCGCCGTCCGCGGAGTCCGCGTCGGCAGAGGTGGCGGCGAGCTCGAGAGAGGCGGGCGATTTCCGGACTTTCAGCATTGAAGAAGCTCTTAGTCATAGGCTGACAGTGTGTTTGGTCTCCTTTCGCAAGGCAGGTGTAATCTAGATTTATATAGATACCAGGACTTCCATGTCGGAATGCTTTTGAGCCCCAGTGAGTGGACGTTCTGGACACCCCTATCCTTCAAAAGGGCACCCAACTTCATGGAACTCCGCATGTTTCGTCCTCCAAAAGAGAGCCGAGCCCGCCGGGCCGCCTTCGTCAGACCCGTTCCGCCTTCGTCGCTGGGCCGCCCACGTCGCCGCCGGCGCGGCGCTGGCGCCGGAGCGCCGTGAAGCGGGGTGGTGCCGGCGTGGGACAGGAGACCGAGCGAAGGAAGTCGGAGAGTCTGCAGGTCACCTTCAGATTGGGACACCCCCAGTGAAATCCAACAAATGGACTTCGGTTTGGA